TGTGTATATATATATATATATAAATACATATATGTATACACATACATACATATATATATTAAGAATGTAGAAAATATTTAGTAATGAATAAAATTTAACAACAAATGTGGGGTTATTAGTTAATAATAAAAGACACCATTTTGTGACGACAGTTTAGACAGGCTTTCCCATTGCCAATGCTACCTTGGAACCACACAGTGCTTTAAGGTTTCTTTCAAATTTCAAATTCAAGCCCTTTGTTTAGGACTCACATTTTCTTTTCCCTTAATAATATTGTGATAAATAATGATTACATTCAAGTTAGCTAATAGCATTCATTTAATTACTAGATACCAGAATTGTATTTCTTATAGATATTAGTATGAGTCTTAACTGTGGGAGGATAGGTCCAATAATAAGGAAAGTTAAAAATGAAAAGGGAAAAAAGGGGATATGGAGAAAGAGTAGCAGGAGGAAGAAAAAGAGAAGAAGATAAGGAGACAAGGATTAAGGAAGGATAAAAGGAGCAAGGAAAACCAAGAGGACCAAGAGTGGTAGGAGAATAGAGCAGAGAATTAGGCAATTGCAAAAGTTTGAACTGCACTCTCCCTCTCTCACCCTGCTGCCTGCTCCCACACCCTCCCGGGTTCCATCATATGTCCTCTACCTCGGAGCCCTGCTCCAAAAGAGTTTGGGAAAGAAGAAACATACACACACAGACTGTACTCTCTCTAGGTAGGTAAATACAATTTCAATTTACCTCAACGGCAACTTTGTCCCTAAAGTGCAGTTTCACGTAAGTGTTGCTTAATCCTCACCCAGTAGTTCACATGTTACCTTGAACTTTATTTTGTGAAGCAAAACAAATACAAGGTTGCTTTGAAATCAGTGAGATTTGTGTTCCAGAATTTACTTCTAACTTGTTTCCATATTATTTTCTATTTTTAAAGAAAAATAGTATTCTCATTGTACAGGCATTTTTTTTGCAACAACTCAGAGTTGCTGTTCATTCAACATATGCTTACAGTAAAATTTAGTCCCAATATTCCTCTTTAAATAGATAAAGAGAGTGGAAATAATGAGAATGTTGACACATTGTGAAAAATATAACCAGTGTCACTGAACAATGGATACATAAATTATTAAATAAGAACTTAATCTTCTGTGTAAATTTTTACCAAAAATACAGTAAAATATAATTTTAAAAAGACAAAATTAACAGGAATGCATTACTAGTAACAACTTGTTTTGCATCTTCTATAAATCATAATTGTTTCCACAGTGTTTCATTTCTTAACCATCAGGTCAGGGATGAAAGGAATATGCTCAAAGTTGTTACCCGGATGCACCGAGTGGCAGTGATCCTTAAACTCTTGGTACAACAGTTTTCCGTTCTGGAAACAATGACAGCCTTGGACTTCAATGACTTTAGGTGTGCATTTGTGCTTTATTGTTATTAAAATGTATAGAAATAACATATGGAAGAACTAAACATAAATATCAATGACTTGGTAAGATGTTGTTTTGTTAATTAACTCTAGTGATTACCAAAGAAATGTATTGATTTTAAAAAATAAATATTTAAGTAAATATAATTTACTTTTTTATTCCAGTGGGATCAAAGAAGAATGTGTATGTCGTGTGGTGTGAGGAGCTTATCCTCCTAATGAAACTTTGCCCCTATAAGCACACGGAGAAGCCTTTAATAATAAACTGTTTAAGAAGTTATTAGGTACATTTCATCACTTATTTTTCCATACAAATGGAATGGTAAATTTACTTCAATTCATCATTTTGTATTCATTTTTTTTTTCCCCACAAAATGATTTTAGGTCACTTAAAAAAAAAAAAAAAAAGGCCAAAATGGCTGATATAAGACAAGTAATTAAATTTTACAAAGTAAATTTAAAAAAAGAGAGAAACAGGAGTGATATATAAAAAACCATGTCAGTGAAATGTGTCAGCATAATTTATGTGTTGGATCTTAAAATTTAGCTGTAAACTTTGATGGAGCCAGAGCCAAATGGACTAAAATGACATAATTTTCAAGGAGAAACAGCTTTCTTTGGCACCAAAAATTAATATATTTTTTTTTTTTCTAAGAAAACTTCTAATAAAGTCTCTGAGTGGTGGTTAGCACTCAACTACTAACCAAAAGGTTGACAGTTTGAACCCATCCTGAGAAGCCTTGGAAGACAGGCTTGGAAATGTACTTCTAAAAGTCACAGCCTTGGAAACCCTATGGACAGTTCTACTCTGCAAATATGGTGTCTACGTGAGTCAGGAGACCTGGTAGCTTAGTGTCTAAGGCACTTGATTGCTAACCAGAAGGTTGGCGGTTCAAACCCACCAGCCACTCCTTGGAAGGAAGGTTGGGCAATCTACTTCAGTAGTGATACTGCCTCGGAAACCCAAGGAGGGGTCACTATGAGTGGGGTCTGACTTGACGTCACATAACAACAACAACAACACATGAGTCAGAATCGACTAGATAGCAACTAATAACAACATATCAGGTGGATTGTATGATGTAATTGGCAGTGTCCTCAATATGTTTGACAAACAATAGAAAAGTAGTATAATTTCTTTGTGTTGGGTTTAGAAAACTTAATTCAGCACTAATTTGATGAAGAGAATTTACAAGGATGTAAGAGTTTGAACATTCATTGGAAGTGAATGAGAATATTAATGTTCTAGTGCCTACTACACGCTGGGCAACACCCCATTCATTTTACTTTGTTAAATACGTTGGCCTCAAAATAATACTAGGTAGCTAGATTAAGGATAACACTTAAGAATAGTATTATTTTTGTGTGGCATTGAATAATATTTATAAAGAAACTTTTGTTGTTGATGGCACCTAACAACAAAAACAACAAAAATTTCTTTATAAATATTATTCAATCTCACACAAAAGTAATACAAAGTAATCTGTAAAAAGTAATACTGATGGGTTTGAACTGCTGACCTCCTGGTTAGCATCCAAAAGCCTTATACACTACACCACCAGCCTCCTTATGTATATACATATATACAATATTTAACAAACTTTCTCACTTAAATTGATTGACTAAATGAAACAATGATGTTCATGTAGATTTTCCTTATTTCAGTAAGTCCAAGTCATAAATAACCTAGGCAGTTATTTGTCTTCTAGTGTTGGTGATATCCAGTAGATTAAAATTGATTAACTCTCACTAAAAAAGAAACTATTGTAGTGATTTACAATGTCAACTTATCTCTTCCTTCTCTTTCCCCATTTATTCTCAAAGAGAGTATTTATCTCCAGCATCAGGCTTCCAGAGTTTGCAGTTCCGTCTATTAGAAAATAAGATAGGTGTTCTTCAGAATATGAGGGTCCCTTACAACAGAAGACATTATCGTGATAACTTCAGAGGAGAAGATAATGAACTGCTGTTTAAGTCTGAGCAGGAAAAAACACTTCTACAACTAGTGGAGGTACATGCTCAAATCTTCTTTCTAAAATCTATTCAGTACATCTTGTTAATTCAACTTTTGCTAGATTATATTTTTAAAGTTCATATCAAAGTTGCATCAATTGCCTCAAGAAAAACAGAAATACATATTTAAAAAATGCATCAACTTGTAAATTTAATGTATTGAAATATTTAAACTGTTAAGAAAAAATGTTGAGGACTCTTTCAAGAATTTCAGAAGTTTGTATGTAATTAATTACAGGTTAATATTTAATAATGTCTTCATCTAATTAATCTTTTTAAATATTTCTACTAAGCAAACTTTATATAGCTAATTTTAAATTGAATGTGGTAAATTACTTAATAACTTTCATTTCTTTCAAATATTCCACAACTGAAAATTGCCACCTGTTTGGTATGTTTCTTAACTAAACTAAATCTCTAATAGTAGACTTTTCAGAAAATTTTTTTGCCTTCACATCCAAATTCCCTAGGAGGTCTATAAGTAATCTTGTGAAATTATCCATTTGTTTCTTCCAAGTAAATTTATAAATAAGAAGTATATGGTTTTGATTTCTTTACAAAGACTTCCTTTGAAAATTAAAACTTCTCTTCTGTTGAATTAGATTTTGCTCACTAATCCCCTGGGTACTATAAGTGTGGATTTAGGTTAATGTCTTATATATAAAGACATATAAAAGCTTATATAGATAGAGAGAGAAAGACTCACAAAGCTAATTTATAAACTAAAAATAGGTTATATGGGAACCCAGAGAGATGCATGAATTAAGTTTTATATCTAGGTTAAAAAGTCTTGTGGGATCTTAAAAATAATTTTGTGGGTAGTTGATTTTAAACTGGCTAATTATATAATATCCTTACATTTAGAAGTCATACCATATATATAGAGGGAGAGAGAGGGAGAGAGAGCGAGAGAGCTGTAATTTCTTCAGCTACTAAAATATAAGGTACTATGAGAAAATAAATTACCAGATGATTTTATTAAAACAGTTTAGATGTCTTCATAGGCTTATTGAACAAATGTGAGATTTCTGTAATCATGTATATTTTAAGAAATAAAGAGTAGTAAATATTATTAATTATGATTTCCCTAAAGATTTAAAAAGTAAAATATGATCCATTGCTATTTCATAAATGAAGAAATTGAAGTGAAAAGAGAAATATTTACAAGTGAAAACTTATGACATATATTTCTCCAAACTACAAAGATTTACTGGTTCAAGTTCATATATTTTAGTTATAATTCATTTTACATATTTTAATTTTATCATATATTCACCCAAAAATAATATTTCCTTAAGGCATGGCTGGAAAGAACACCAGGTTTAGAACCACATGGATTTAACTTCTGGGGAAAATTTGAAAAAAATATTATGGAAGGACTGGAAGAAGAATTCATAAAGATTCAGGTATTTGTAATGCTATGAATAAATATATATTTACTATAGAAGTATTAGGAATTTTATTTTAATCATTGTTTACTTTTCATTTTTCTTACATTCTTTTTCTTTATAGATGTATCATCTTAGATGTGTTACATGATTGATTTAATTTTATTTATGTTCAATAAAAATGATACCAAATTAAGGACTTCATTGTAGGCAAGATTTTTGTCTGTGATAAAATAGCTGAGATTAATTTAAAAAAAAGAAATCCCATTTCTATTGAAAAGTCTACATTATAACCAGTTTTAAGCAGGAAATGTCACACAAAGGACCCACGAGCCAAAAAATTAGCCATATAATTTTTCCTTCATTTTTGTTTGTTTATTGCATCCTTCATTTTCCTTAGGCCTACATCTCACCCTGTCTTCACTACTCAAACTTGGGAAGAGTTATTTGTGTTTTATATTTTGAGATGCTGGATAAGATAGCTCTTAACTCATGAACTTTGAAATCACACATCCACTTGTTAATAGCTGTGTAATATTGAGCAAGTTCCTTAACTCCTCTTTGACTCAATTTTATCAGTAGTCAAGTAGAAAATAAGAGTATCTCCAGTGGAAGGAAGTTGGGGTTACCTACTTCCCTAAAGATTTACCGCCTTGGAAACCCAATGGCGATTGCTATGAGTTGGAAACCACTCGATGGCAGTGAGTTTGGTTTTAGGTTTATTTTTATTTTTATTTATTTATAATATGGAGGCTTTGTGACACAAAGTTTAAGTGCTGTGCTTCTAACCAAAATCTCATTGGTTCAAATCCACTAGCTGCTCTGTGGAAGAAACATGCCACAGTCTGCTTAGGAAAATATTTGCGGCCTTGGAAGCCCAATGGTACGGTACTATTCTGTCCTATAGGTTCTCGATGAGTTGGCTTTTTTTTTTTTTACAGTATATTTATAAGATTGTTATGAGCATTAAATTATGTTATAATTTATTAAGCATTCAGAATAGTAGCTAGTGTAATTATTTCTTCATCTCCGTTCTTCATTTTTTTCACTTTTCTTATACAAATGACCTCTATGTATATAAAACAATGTCTGATTTTTATCTTTAATTTTCCTATATGTGACATTCAATAGTAATTACTAGTTACTGTCTTTTGAACATTATTTTCCTTTGGATTTGTTGACATGACATGGCTGCCGTCTAATCCATAGCCTCAATTTTTCTATCTCTTTTATAGGCTCATACTTCTTCCTCAGTCTAAGTAATGGTGGAGTTTCTAAGTGCATTGGCTTAGATACTTTCTATTCTCTTTTGTTGGATAAACTCATTTATATTCATTACCTCAAAAACTACTTATACCTTGATAATTCTCAAATATTTACCTCTAGCTTAGAAATTTCTTTAGATTTCAGATCATATATCTACTCTTGTTCTTCTCAAAAGCGCACTGACAAAGCCAAACTTTTGAAACTACTCCCTGGGTCAACTCTCATACCAAGTTGGGGAAAGATTGTCCTTGACAAACCATCTAATTTGTCAAGGCAGATGCCTATGAGTGATCCTTGGCACCTTCCTCTTCCTCAGTGTTTTATTCAAACTACTACTAATTCTACTTTCTAAATATCTGCCAAATATCTCCCTTTTTTACCCAGTGACTGCAACAATGGGCTCAAACATAGCAATGATTGTGAAGATGGTATGCCAAAGGGCAGTGTTGAGTTCTGTATTACACAGGATCACAAAGAGTCAGATGGCATCTGACGACAACAGCAATCTCCCTTTAATTTAACACCATCACTCATCCTAAACTATCATTCATTTGGGTTAAAGTAATAGTTTCTGAAGTATTGTCTTCCTCAATCTGGCTCTATTTCAATTTTTTCTCCCTGCTATTGTCTGAGTAATCTTTTCCAGATGCAAATCTGATCACATTCCATGTTTGCTATAACCTTTTTTGTGCCTCCCCATTGACTTTAGGATAAAGATAAGAATCCTTAACATGGCTGCAGGCCCATCATGATCTTATGTGGTCCAACCAGAATTAACTTCTTTGATTAAACAGCACTTAGCTTTTGAATTTACCATGTTCCCATTCAGCACCAAGTCCTGAATATGTGTTATTCTCTATACTTGGAATGCTCTTCCGAAAGTCACTCCTTCCCATCCTTCAGGTCTCAAGAAACACTTCTTTAGGAAAGTCTTTTCTGGCCTTCTTACTACTGTGTGTTATTATGGCACTAATACTCCTTTACCACATTTTCTTTGGTTGCAATTTAATGCTTACATGATTATTTTATCAATTTTTATTCACCTAGACTCTAAACTGTGTGAGGCCAGGGGACTTGGTTTTTGTTTAGAATTGTACCTCTATCACCTATCAAAACAAATGACAATAGGCATATATTAAATATTTTGATGAGATAAACATTAATTGACAAGAATATTCCACAGAGTGTGATTATTCTGATGAATTGAAGGGAATTGGATTAATTCATTTGCTTCAAATAAATTATCAATGAATTCAAACAAGAATTTCTTTAAAGGAATCAACAGATAGCAAATAATTTTTTTAAAACATAGGTATTCTGACTAAGAATCCTGAACTTCTCCTATTTAGAATTACTTTATCTCTTTCTAAAATTTGATCATTATTGACCACTTGTGGTTATCTCCAATTTTATCTATCTGAGTCCATTTACCATGATATTTATAAAAGGAATATTTAAATTTAATAAATTATTCAAAATTAAATAAAAGGAATGAATGTGTGGGGCATGTCTTTTCACAGGAAATAATTTTTAATATTGTATGATATGGTAAATGTTCCAAATACACCCTTTTGCTAACTGAGCAGTTTATTTCTCATCAGCAAAATTTTCTCAATAATAAAATTCATTTGAGAATTTAATGCAATATGTTCTTTATAGGCTAGGGAAGAATCAGAGGAAAAAGAGGAAAAAATGGCTGAATTTCAGAAACAAAAAGAGCTGTTACTATCTCTGTTTGATGAGAAACGTCATGAACATCTCCTCAGTACAGGCAAGTATTTTATTCTAAGACTCTTTTCTGTGGAATTTATGAATGTGAGATTGAAACATAATTGTATAAGACTATTGAATCTTACCTGAGGTAAATAGAATGAAAATTGAGAAACTATTCATAGAAACGAGAATGTTATCTACAAGAAACTTGTATTAGGTTGTTATGGTCAGTTTATTTCAAAGACATTAATAAACATATTTTAAAGTATAAGTCAGACATGAAGAATACCAAGATAAATTGAACATATATTTTCTTCAAGTAGTTTTTACTCTACCCAACAGAGAAGTGAAAGCTAATATTTATAATCTGAAGTATTAGAGTAGAGGTAGGATGAGGAAAGAATAATGCTGCAGTGAGACAAATGTTGGCTATTCAGAAGAAATAAGTTTCCCAAGTCAACCAGAAAAAGCACACATTTAGATTTTGTTGTTGTTGTTGTTGTTATGTGCTGTTTGAGTTGGACCCGATTCACATTACCCATCCTTGGGTTTCTGAGGTGGTATCACTATGGAAGTAGATTGCCCAATCTTCCTTCCAAGGACTGGTTAGATTTTTAGTATAGTTGATACTGTTGTGGTGGTTATTTGTTGTTGAGCGACTTCCAGTTCATGGTAACCCCATGTGTTACACGTTTTATTGGGTATAATCATAATGGAAGAAGATCGCCTGGACTTTCTTTAGTGGTGGTGTTGGATAGTTTGAATCATAGTAGTACTCAAACTGTTTGCTCTACCTAGCACTAGTATTGTTAACATGAAACTAGTTGATTAATAAAATCAATGTTTTCTGTAATTCTTTTCTTTGACTTGATTTAACTTTTTGTGCTTATCTTATTTGGAACTCTGGTGGCATAGTGGCTAAAGCATTTGGCTGCTAACCAGAGGTCAGTCAGCAGTTCAAACCCACCACCAGCTGCTCCATGGAAGAAAGTTGAGGCAATATATTTCCCTAAAAATTTACAGTCTTGAACACCTGTATACAGGGGTTGCTGTGAATCAGAATTGACCTGATGGCAGGGGGCATTGTAAACTATCTGAAAATCTTTCTTAAAACAAAAAATAATTTTTATAGTACAAGTTAAAAATAGCAGTCTATGAAAGTAGTATTAAAGTCTGTAAACCTAAAGATTTGAAGTGTTTGCTAAAACAAATAAGCAAACAAACAAAAAATAATTAAGGAATGGCAAAGTCTTATTTTTCTGCAATTAGATACAAAATTTTTTGTAAAAGTACACATATGAGATTTTACATAATATTTATGCACCTTGAAGCCAAGTCAACTATCTCAGTGAATTAGAGAAAATGACTTTTCAAATGAAGCTTATTCATTAAATATTTTCTATGTCATAATTTCCTAATACAATGCTTTTATTCATCTGAGAATTTAAAGTAGATCAATATAGATATTGTTTATATTTTAAACTATAATGTTAAAATAATATTATAAATAATAGGATTTAAAATACAAGGCACAGAATGGTAATTTAAAATAAAACTCACATTGTTTTCTAAAGCATATAAAGCATTTCATTATTTATAGTAATGATGCAAAATTTAACATAAGACCGGATTAAATTACCTATTAAATTAAAGACCACTATGCATTTTACAGGTGAAAGACGGATGTCATACCGAGCACTTCAGGGGGCATTGATGATATATTTTTACAGGTAAAAGCAAAGCAGAAGAAGAGATACAAAAGTTGAAATTGAAGGAGTGGATATAGATAATAAAACAAGTTTAAAGTTTACAAGCTACCATCATACTATATTATAGTCACTTAGTTTTAAAAGAACACAGAAATAACTAGTAGTAAGGTTACATGAGCATTATTTAACTTGTAAATAGCAAAGATATAACATTATCCCTGCATTAGGTATTTAAAAAAAAAAAAAACACTCCACAAATTAATCAAATATCCTTTTTATTAAATTTGACATAGAGTTTCTTAAGGAGTCAGTTTATTTTATCTCGGAAACTCAGTGATAAATGTGTTCTGTCATTCAACAATATTCTAGGACTTTTCCTGTTTTATAAGATGAAGAATGGATAAAGAGAAGTCACCTTATAAGCTTTTGTTTATTTACTTAGCAATTTCATGTAAAATTGCCTTTGCTGTCTAAAGTTTTTGGAGTATCCCTCATATGTCCACTTATTCCCCACGCATGAGGTTTCCATCTTCATGAACTAAATGCGGAAAAATAGTGGATTGCACACTAGCAAGAAGACCTCAAAAATCTATGTTTACTGAATCATTTTTTTCTTCCTTAAATTTATGTATTTTTTTTTTATTTTATTAGGATTTGGGTGAAGATTTACAGAGTAAATTCACTTTTCATACAGCAGTTCACATATACTTTGTCTCATGTCATTGACCAAAATTTAC